TAGACTACCATTAAAGTTCTCTATAGTGATACTGGAAGAAAGTATACATGCTCAGCCATGCAAACATACCTAAACCAAAATGGCATCATTAATCAAACTAGTCGTGTCAATACACCACAACAAATGGCACTACTGGAAGAAAGAACTGACACCTCTTAGAAGTCACTAGAGCCTTTATGTTTACACATAGCATTCCAAAAAACTATTGAGGAGAAGCAATTCTTACTACTGCACATCCAATCTATAGATTGCCTTCAAGAACCCTTGACTTTCATGCCCCCTTAAGGTTCAACCACACATCTCAATCGCTATCTTTTAGAACATGTTTTTGGCTGTCTTGCTTATGTGCACAATGATAATGGCGGCAAATTTGATCCCAAAGCCTTGAAATGTATCTCCTTAGGATACTCATCTACCAAAAAGGGTTATAAATGTATTCTCCACCACTTAAAATTTTGTCACCATGAATGTCACGTTTGTTGAAACTCAGCCATATTACCCTCGTCTTCCCATTCAGGGAGAGAGTGACCATGAATGGGTGCCTATACAGCCAAGTTTCTCCAATGAACCTTTGCCTTTGTCACCAACTTTGGCTGCCAATGATCCTATCCTTGACCCTTAACCCTCTTGGACCACCCAAGACTCCTCTCAAATCATCCAAGGACCTTGACAAATCTGAACCTGAGCCAAACAACATTGAATCTGATACAATCGATCATCTTATGGCCGATAATACAGAATCCAAAGAGGCTATTGTGCTTCCAGAAAATGTTGATGAGCCTAATCACCCCTCTAGCTCTCAGCAAGTCCAAGATTCAACCCCAACTTCAACTCCTAATGATCTTGGGTGGCCAATTGCTTTGAGAAAAGGGGTAAGAAAGTGATACATGGGAATTAGGAATAATAGGGACAATTAGGAAAATTACGAATATAAGGGTAGTTTGGGTATTTAAATATATTCTCTATAAATAGGCCTTTAGGTTGTAACAAGTCATTGTGAATGAAATGAATTAATCTCTTTCTCTATCTCTCTGCCTCTCCTCTCTCTCCCCCTATTTCTCGTCTTCCTCTATCAAAGGTATCAGAGTCGATTCAATGAACACATTGGTGCTCTCAAATATCATCTGCAGATGCAATCGGCTTTGCTTTAATGCAACCAACAAACCTTAGACCAATAGATTCACGACTTCAGTGAGATCAAGCAAATCATGTCTCACATTTCTCAACAGATGCACGAAATCTTGGCAAAGCTCTCAAAGCTTACCAACCAGCACTTGCACTCTCCTGTGGTCACCGTGAGTACACCATTTAACACACCGCCACATAACCCTCCACCCCCTCCTTCAACAATGATGACCTTTGCCTCTACCACAAGCCTTTAGTCATTGGACCAACTATCTTCACTAACGTTAGGATAGAGGAAACATGTTTCAAACATGCACAAATTCGACGACCAACAATTGAATAGTAACTTCAAGGCTAAAACAATAGCAAAATTGAATGACATTCAAGAAGATGAAGAAGGAAAATATGAGAATGACAAGGAGACTAAAGTGAATCAAGAGCAGTGGACTATAGGAGCGACTCAAAACGAAGTTGTTGGATTGACTATGAATGAGGAAGAAGTCAAGGAGGCACTCAAAACATTGAAGCTCAATGAGAAATTCGATAGCAATGATGACGACGACTCACAAAATTTCAAAGACATTCCCACCCACTATCATTGGTACATTGCCAAGTATGTTGAGCCCACTCACATCCTTCATGTTTATGGCACTGTTTTCCATGACTTCTCTATTCCCCTTGATCACTGGCAGCTCAATTCCATAAGACAACATCCTGCCATTCTGGTTGTCTTCGATGATTGTTGCCATCAGCTTCATACCACTCATTCTCTTCAAATTCTTGGCCCCAAGAACTAGCATGATCTTCGGTTCAAATCTAACTACGGCTCTAATGTCATCATTGGAGTTCTCAACACCAAAATTGGCCCAAATGCCACAGTTTCTCATATGTCAATTTGATCTCAGACTTGGAATTCCTTCATTTGAAGAGAGCATCCACAACTTGTCACATTGTATTGGGGCTCACCCCATCAACGGCTATGGAAGGAAGCACCGCTAGCATGCCCCACAAGTATGGCCAAATCGTGAGCAATGGCAATTTGAAGATAAAGTTCAAGGACTTAGAGACCTAGGTCAAGGAAGACAGCAAAGCTTAAACCACTTTAGGGTTGAAGAAGATAGGTCACACTAGTATTTGGCCCTGGTTTTTGCAAGTATTTTCCAAAGGTGCCACAAGTGTGATCCACATGCCAATCATCTAAACCCTATTGGAAATTGATTTGATGAAAGTGTTGTTAGACCTTGCTTAGACTTGTTTTGGGCTCCTTACATGTTTTGGGCTTCTCCAACGTCCCTGGCCCAAAAACCTTTTGAAAAAGGGAATAATCTGAAATGAGTTTAATTACAATACTGCTAGACATTATGTTGAAGAAGTTTGGGCCACTCAAAAAGCCTTTGTGTCGAATCGAGTCATGAAGATGGAGCTATGCGGTGTTCTTTACCTTCAACAATGGGTCTCTCACAAGTCTAGGTGGCTTCCCATAATGGGATTTTGAATTGAAGGATCACTACAAAAAATTTGGGCTTTTAATGTCCATTTATTTTGTTCTTAAATTATTTTATTTTACAAGTTATAACAACTTAAGGTAAAAAAAAAAGGATAAGTCTTATTTTAGATATATATTTTCCTACTTTTGTACTGATCCTTAAGGACAAGGATCTCTTGTTAGGGAGAGTATTGATACATGAGAATTAGGAATAATAGGGTTAATTAGGGGAATTAGGAATATAAGGGTAGTTTGGGTATTTAAATACATTCTCTATAAATTGGTCTCTAGGTTGTAATGGGTCATTGTGAATGAAATGAATTAAACTCTTTCTCTCTCTATCTCTCTGCCTCTCCTCTCTCTCCCCCTATTTCTCTTCTTCCTCTATCAGAAAGTGTACTATGTAGCCTATTAGTAATTGTGTCTCTTTATGACAAACTCTCAACTTGTATGCAAAGTTTTATGGTAAAGTTATTAGAAGAAAAATTACCCTCTAATTATCAAGAAGTGGATTCTGATCAAAATTGGGGAAAAGCTATTCATGATGAATTAATCACATTGATAAAAACCGTCCTTGGGAAATCACTAAGCTACCTCATGGAAAGAAAAGTGTGGGGTGTAGATGGGTTTTTACAAAGAAGTATAATCCATATGGAGCTCTCAATAAATACAAAGCCCAACTTCTTGTAAGGGGGTACTCGTAGACTTATTGTATTGATTACCAAGAAACATTTGCTCTTGTTGCAAAGTTGAATACCATTCAGATGTTATTGTCCTTGGCTGCCAACTATGATTGGCCTTTAGATCAACTTGATGTTAAAAATGCCTTTCTCAATGAAGACTTGAAGGGGGAGGTGTACATGGAAGTTCCCAAGGGATTATCAAAACAAAGAAAGCCAGGTCTAGCATGCAAACTATACAAATCTTTATATGGACTCAAGCAATCACCTACAACTTCATTTGAAAGATTCACCAAAGTTGTTAAGAACTTGGGATATGCTCAATCTCAAACGGATCACACAATGCTTGTGAGACACTCAAAAGGAAAAAAAGGCAATACTTAATATTTATGTTGATGATATAGTACTAACCAATGATGATTTAGTTCAAATAAGAGACTAAAGAAGTCAATGGAAAATGAATATGAAGTAAAAGACTTGGGAGGCCTAAGATACTTTCTTGGAATGGAGGTAGCTAAATCTAACCAAGGAAATGCTTAATATGTTAAAAGAGATAGGGATGCTAGGTGTAAGGCCAGTAGAAACACCTATGGAATGTTTATGCAGATTAGATATTAAAGAAGAGGATGAAGAAGAATGAACCTTAGATAACAAGGAATATTTACTTCCTATCGATGCTGACAAATACAAAAGACTAGTAGGTAAATTTATATAACTATCCCACACTTGACCTGATATTCGCTTTGCTATTGGGATGGTAAGTAGGTTTACCAATGATCCACAAGAAAAGCATATGTAGGCTGTTAACAAAATTTTGAAGTACCTTAAAATGACTCCCAGGAGAGGAATTTTCTTTGCTAAAGGTGATTCTAGAGGAATCAAAATTTATATAGATGCTGACCATGGAGACTCTTGTCTTGACAGGAGGTCCACTTTTGGGTATTGTATTTTTGTGTGAGGAAATTTGGTGACATGGAGGAGCAAAAAGCAATCTGTTATGTCCAAAAGTAGTGCAAAATCAGAACTAAGGGCCTTGGCGCATTGTGTGAAGGGATGTGGCTACAAAGGGTGCTAAAAGAACTAAAAGTAGCAACAGATTCACCAATTAAGATTACGTGTGATAGCAACTCTGCTATAGTGATGGTGGAAAACCCTATACATCATGAAAGAACGAAGCATGTTGAAATAGATAAGCACTTCATTAAAGAGAAGATAGACATGGGCATTATTGATTTAGCTCATTCAGCAGCACAACTGCAAGTTGCTAATTTATTCACCAAGCCATAGGCTAGAGCACTATTTGAAGAATTTAGAAGCAAGCTGGGAATGACTAATATCTATTCACCAACTTGAGGGGGGGTGTTGGTGCCAAACGATGCCCAGTGACCCCTGTGCCCTAATTCTTATTTAATATTTATCATTTACTGTGTTCAATATTATGATTATGAGTATGTATCTTGCCCTGATTTTTAGGAGGTTATTTTGCTTTTTCTTTCTGTTTTTAGTATCTTGGCCTGATCCTAATCTGTTATAGGGTTCGTGTTGCCTCTATATATGCATTTCATACTATCAGAATAAAGCCAAGCTTTTATCCAGCATCTATCTTTCCTCAATTTTTTACAATTATTTTAATTTGAAATAAGTTTTGGCTTGTATATGATATGGAAAATGCAGAAAGCGATTATTCAATGCATTAATCTGATACTTACATCAGGCTGGAGTGGTCCAAACTGGTTTAGAATCTCAAAAAAAATGCTTGCAGCATAAAATGTTTTTGCTGTATTCCTGCCAAAATTCATGGCTTTTAAATGTTAACAGCTGGTTACAGATGAAAATAAACGTTTACAGACAGTAAATGTCATAAGCAGAACAAGAAATTAAAAAACTTCTACACAGCAGACCAAGTGTAAGCCCAAAAGAAACAAAAAAAAAAAAAAAAAAAAGGTCAAACACAAACAAACTAGAACAACAACACAAACAAGACAAACAAGTATGCAGTCGTTAGTTCCAAGATTTAAGGAGAAGATTGAGAAATTGTTTGTTCTGTTTTTTTTTTCTTATTATTCTGATTCTATTCTAGTTATATCTTATGATATAATAAGTTATTAGATGAGGTTGTTAGCATTTTGTTTTTAAGTTCCTAACATCAACAATTGCATCAATATGAAGGCTACGTGTCATGGAAGTTATCAATATCATAAATGGGACCAAAATTTCACCAGAGAAAAAGTTGATACAATTATATGTCTCTCCTATACTCCTACTCAGCAAGTTGCTGACATTCTCACTGAATCCTTGCCTGAGTAAGTTTGAAGGCTTGAGGAGCAAGCTTAAAATGCTAAACATACATTTTTTCAGCTTGACAAGGGTGTTGTTAGTTCCCAGATTTTAGGAGTAGATTGTAATATCATGTGTAGGTTTTGATGTGATTTCATTATGGCCTTATTTTGAGATATTTTGATTATTAGATCAGGTTGTTAGTGCTTTATTTACCTGTTCTTAATCTTGAAGGATTGCATCACAATCTCTCTCCTCGGTCTCTATTTACTCTACAGCACACCAATGAAACTAGGATCCACAGGGAACAGAAAAAAAAAAAAATTCCCCAACTTCACTTGGACCATGTTTGGTAGCATTGAATTGGCAAGGTGGAAATAGAATTAAAGATGGAATTCTAATTTAAACATGATTGGTATGAAAGAGTTGCAATTCCCAAGAATCCTAATTCCACCAAAAATGTTAGAATTCAATTGCATCATATTAACCATGGAATTGCTTCAATTCCCTTGAATTCAATTTGTAGACCCCACTATCCTCATCATTTTGTCCATTTATAACAAGGTAGGTCTTTTTAATTTTGAGAAAAAGGGAAATTTAGTCTTTTCTTATTTTAAGCACATATACAAATTAATATTATATTAGAATTTCATTTTCATACCAAACACACTTTTAAAACTCAATTCTATTTCGATTTTGATTCCGATTCCAATTCCGATTCCGATTCTAATTCCATTAAAAACTCTTTCATCATACCAAACGAGGCCTTAATATTTCTCCACTATATTGTAAAAAAGATATGAATAAGATCAATCATGGAGGGGAAAAATTGGTTCCCTAGGACAAATTATGGGGCTCCCATGTTTCAAAAATCTTCACCACAGAAAAGGATAAATAAACAAACAGACAATAAGATGAAATAATGTGCATAATAAAATGCATAGAATGAGATGCTTTTAATATCCATGCGGGAATTATAACCAGTAAGAGGTTCTCCACGTCCCCCAACCACATTATAATGAAAAATTTAAACAAAATAAACAATAACTGAATAACATGCAGACAGTATCAACTCAAAAGTTGTTATTCCTCCATGTTCTCCACTCAAAATGCAGATTAAAGATTTGTAATAGAACAGTAGAGTGGAACAGACTAGCCTAAAAGATGGTTACAGCTTATATAAATGATTAACATACAAATCTGAACGTCCAGCACGATCTTGCTTGTCTGCCTTTGCAAAGACATTTAAGGCAAATCCTTCCAGATGTAAATTATCTTCAGGCCCCAGCTTGATTGACTTTTTATCCTGTAGGAAAAGGATAATCTTTTAAATCAACTATCAACTATGAGTGCTGAATATTAACAGCATGAAACTAAAGTGATAAATCAATAATCAATGAAGAAATCAAAATTAAATTTTAAATAACTATGGGGTCAAATTATAGGAGGTTATTACATAAGCACATTGAAAATATAGAAAAAAGACTCATCACTAGCAGGACCCCATCCAAACCGATCTAAAAAATAACTGCAGACTGTCATTGAAGCGTACAGAATCATAAGCAAATTTTAGGTTCCAAAATCTAGCTTCTTACACTCAACAACGACAAGAAATCCAGGAATTGAAGATAACTAGTAAGAATAATCAGACTATTGGGCGAATAGCAATTAATCGTATACAAATTCATCAGAAAACAATAGTTTCGGAACTACATTATGAAAATTAAAATTAGTGAAACTAGTAAGAATATCATACTTTAAACCAGCATATATAATTATACGCGAGATCAGCAAAAATGTCAAACAACATGCACTTTCGTCTCACCAACCCAGGAAAACGATAAAAGTTTCACATCATGACGAAAATTAACAGCATTTTGATAGCACCTTTTCAAGCTGGTTCATGAGCGAAATAAGTAGAGCATTTGTGGTCTTGGTGCGCTCGCTCTGAGGAATCTTCATTCCACGTTCCATGGCATATAACCGACCTTAATTTAGCATATTAATAATACCAAAAAAAAGGGGAGACCAGTGTATCAGAATCTTCCGTTCACGCCCTAATCCAAGCTCAATTGGATCAGCGGGAAAAAAATCACAAATTCCTAAACAAGAAATTTCAAAAGACGCGAATAGAAAATACAACAAAATTTGCTATTTATCTGAAAACGAATCCAAAAAAGAGAGCGATTTACAGTAATATGCGACAAGCGGATCGTGCTTTTGCAACTCATCGGCACGTTGAAGGTACGGTAAGAGGAGCTTTGCGGGCTCGCTTTCACTCGCCATCTTCGATCTTCCCAAGTTACCGAACACAGAAGAAACCGATTTTGATTTCCAATTACAGGGAGGGCAGGTCTGCACGGGTGAACTGTGAATAAAACTGTAGTTTGAGGCGACACCGTTTTATGCGGCGCGGAAGCGTTAGGTATTTAAACGGATTGATTGATCGATCCTGCTACACCGTTCCACTTTGGGCATTCATGGTATTCACCACCGTGCTTTAGCTTGTACTTTTTTTTTTTTTTTTTTTTTTACATAAAAGGCAAATTTTATTAAAAATAAAAACATAAAAAGACCCGAGAAAATGAATGAACTAGTTTTAGTAGTTTACTAGTCTCCAGGTCTGCATCAAATTACAAATTTAAATAACCGTTGAATTTGAAGTCAGCTCGGCAATAACAAGGTTTTTTTTTTATTGAAACAAGTTTATTTAATATAGAAGTAGTTCCTTTTATTTGTAAAAATCCCAGGTATAGATAAAGATGTAACTTTCACATGTACTTAACATTAGTATCAAGTACAAGTTCATATACACAATGTTCATTGAAGAATACATTGAGATTGACTGCCAATGAAATGAAAACAAAGGCAAAGAATTAGAAATATGACTACATTTCCCAAAGCTAAAGGTGCATTTTTGTTTTTGAAGTATTCTTTGAAAAATACCCAGTATCCTAAACTATTAGTCAAAGCAATTCTACCCTTCAAGAAATTAAAATTGAGCATTTTTTCCCTCACCATCAAATTCTCAATGTTGATTGTTAGAAAATGCTAATAGAGACTCTAACATTAACTATTATAAATTTAATGAAAAGGTTAAAAGCATTTCATTGTAATTACTTTAAGGGAAAAATTTCTCTTATCAGTAGTTTAGAATGTTAGGTACTTCTCGGAGAATACTTCAAAGGTAGAAACGCACATTTATCCCATTTCTCAAAGAGAGATTAATTATCAAATTCAGTCTTAACCAAGATTAATGACACCCAATTATAGAAATCAATAAACCAATAATGTGCAGTTGATTTTTGTAACCTCTCTCCAGATGAATGTGATATGAATATGCATTTGATGCTCAGCTATAGATTTCCAAGATATACATTAATCCAGCAAGAAACGTACATTGGATAACACCCATGTCTTTGAGAACTATACCCTACTCGTTGCCATAAGCATTTCATCATGAATGTGATCATTACCATAGGGACAGTGCTTAAGCAAGATGCTTGAGTCCCAAAGCACTCAAATCTACAATGTCCAACCTTTATACAGATGCTTTAGTGGATAATCTACTAACTTCGCACTACTAATCTCTCTAGAATAAAAGAAGAATCATTCAATACTTATGATAAATTCCAAGTAGATTTTGTAAGTTCCAAAACTAAGAATACTTATTTTCAAAAATATCTCAACCTTTTAAAGTAGATAATACATCTGATTCTCCTAGCCCAACATTTGCATTTAACAAATAAATTTTCAACCAAGAAGATATCATGGCTAAAAGACTTTCACCACCATAGTTTTCTACACTTAGTGTCACGGTCATTGTTTGAATAATATTCACTAACTGCAAGACCAATATTGTTAGAGCTGTCACTATTTGATCTTGTGAATCAAGCCAAAACTTCCAATCTTGTTGTTCATCTTTAAAACATTTCATATTACCCTTGTCCTTTAAAAGGTGCAAAACTAATTATTTAACTTGTTGCACCTCATCCCTAGTCAACTTTAATCTCTCATGTGAAACTTTAGGAATAAGTATTGGAGAGAAGCATGAATGAAGGATAGCTTCATTATTATTAAGTAGTGAGTCCTTGGCTCTCTTGAAAAACCAAGAGGCATAAGAAATCCATGACTTGCCTATGGTAGAGCAAATATGAGTAGACAACTTTGTGGTTGTGCTAACAATCTCCTCAGTAACCTAATCCACACTTTTCTTAATTATTATATTCTCTTCATTGCCATCCTAATCAACTGAAGGGATTTCAACACTTTCAAAATCTACAGGTGTGTTAGGAACTATGTTAATGGGAGTCCAATCAGAATAGTTTTGTCTAAGTCCCTTTGCAAGTTTCAAGCATTCTTTGGCCCTTAAAATCTTCTCATCAACATCAAGCAGTTTATATTCTGAAGAAACCATATAAGGATACAACAATGACCAGATGTTTGTGAAAGCATCTTCAAACTTGTTTACTGCATACAATAGTATAGTGCTATCATATTGTAAATTCAAAGAGAGAAGAGCACGATGCCTCTCTTCAAGACAAGTAGATATGCAATCTTTGAGACAGTTTTTTAAATGATTTGCCAATAATAGATTTCTTTGTCTATAGGCTAAATTTAGAAAATTCATGTAGAGATTCATAGAAACTAAAGAAGTTGAGAACATTGTTTGGTATACACGAAGAACCTTCAACCATGGACTACAATCTTGATGGATTCTACTAATATAATATGGCACCAACTTAAGATATGAATTTAATATTGACTGAGCATGTTTAGTCTTGTTTTGTATTGATTTAAGCTTGCAATCCTCTTCTAATGAGAAAATGTAGTGTAACTAAATAGCAGAGATGTTAGTTCACCTAACCCTTCAAGTGGTAGAATAGATAGAGGCTCCTCTAACAATGAATTAGCCTTTTGTAAAGCTTAAGGAAAAATTAACCTCGGTGCCAATGTTGATAATTCCTGATCCACGGTTGCCTTACGAGGTTTACACAAAAGTTTCTTTGAAAGATCTGGGGTGTGTATTGATGCAAGAAGATCAAGCAGTGGCATATGCATCCAGATAATTATGACCTCACGAGGAGAGTTATTTGACATATGACCTGGAGTTAGCAGCTGTGGTGTTTGCTCTCAAAATTTGGCAACATTATCTTTATGGCGTAGAATTTAATGTGCACAGTGATCACAAGAGTTTGAAATATCTTGTGGATCAGAAAGAGTTCAATATGAGGCAAAGGCAATGGGTGGAATTCCTTAAAGATTACAACTTTGAGTTTATGTATCATCCAGGGAAAGCCAATGTAGTGGCAAATGCTTTTAAGTCAAAAATCACTTCATATGGCTGAATTAATGGTTCAAGAAAATCAGTTATTGTTGTCTTTGCTAGAGGTGTAGCTTGAGGCATCAGGTTTTACTTTGAATGCAATCCACTCAACCATAATTTCCAATGAGCTTTGGAAAGAGATTCGAGCAGCTCAATTGAAAGACAAGTTTTTGTTAAATGTATGAGAGGATATAGAGGAAGGTCATACTACCTTGTTTTAGTTCAGTGATGATAGGTTCATCTTGTATAAAGACCGAAACTATATACCTGTGAGTGAAGATATCAAAAGGAGATTGTTAGAAGAAGCTCATCGGAGAAAATATACTATGCATCCTGGTGTGACCAAAATGTTCCATGACATAAAGAAGCATTGGTGGTGGCAAGGTATGAAGAGGAATGTTACTGAGTTTGTGAATTGGTGTCTCGCATGTCAAAAGGTAAAGATCGAGCATCAGAGACCGGCTGGGACACTATAACTTCTAGAGATTCTCCAGTAGAAATGAGACAGCATTTCAACAGACTTCATGCCTGGTATACCGAGAACTCAAGTAGGGTTTAACTCTATGTGGATTATTGTGGATTGATTGATGAAGTCGACACACTTTTGCTTGTTAAGTTCACCTATGATGTGGAAAAAGTACGCAGAGGTATATGTGAGAGAGGTGGTGAGATTGCATAGTGTACCCAAAGACATAGTATCAGATAGAGATCCCTAATTTACTTCGAGGTTTTGGGGAGCACTATAGAGAGCAATGGGTATCGAGTTGAGGTTTAATACCTCTTATTGTAACATCCTGAAATTTTAAGATTTGGATTTATTTTAAAAAATAAAATAAAATATTTATAATTAAATTAAAATTAAGAATAGTATGATAGAAGTCCCGATTTTGAATTTTTCTAAGCAAAACTTTGGTTTTATTTTATTTTTAACTATGAAAAAATTACCAAAGTTGACCCAGACTTTTGTGTTATAATAAAAAAATGTCGGGCCCTTTCTTGTAATTTTCTCCAAAATATTTTAAGATTAGTTTTAAGAGGAAAATAGCATGCAAAAACAAATATGAAATAAGAAAACAAAAGGAAAGAAACGAACAAGAGAACAAAATGGAAGAGAAGAAGAAAAGAGGAAGAAGAGAGGGAGTTAGGTTTGGATTTAGGAGGCTTTATGACCATTACGAGATTGGCTACACAATAGGTAAACTCCCTACTTTAATCCTCTTTCTTCCCTCTTAGTTTTCTTTAATTTTTAGAAGAGAAAATTTCCAAAATTTAATCCAAAAAGTTTTATTCTTCTAAGCTTTAGTTTCTTTGGGTCCTTGAGAGGCTGTTTTGAGTTTCTATATGATGCTCTAATGTTTTGAGTAGGTATTTGGATGAAAAATGAAGTTTTAGGGCAAAAGTCAAAACCCCAAGAGGTTAAGTTTTGCTCCTCAATGGTTTAAACCTATTGATTTAGTTATAATTTTGCTATTAGAGCCCAATAAGATTTAAATTAAGGTTTGGTTTTCATTATAAGGGCTAATAGTAAAAGTTGGTAATACTCAGTGAAGGTTTTTAATTAATTAAAAATTCTATGAATTAGAAATTGGCCTAGTGGTAGCTAATAAATGGTTTTGGTGGTTAAGTAGTATTATGTGAATGGTTAGTTCAATATATGGACCATTGGGATGAATTATGGCTCATTGACCCACGTTGTGTGGTTTGAGTTATAGTCTTCATTAATGTTATTTGCCATGAAAAGTGATATGGATTACTTATATGTTGTAGGGAATTGTTGGTGAAACTTATTGAGAAGTTAAGGAACAAGCCAAGTCCTATTTTGTACAAGAGAAACCCTTTTGATACCAAAGGGTTGAGGTAACAAGGAATTTATATTTTTTATTGCTTTAATTAGCTATTTTTGAGTAAATAATATTATCTAGTATGTATTACATATTTTAAACAATTAAATGCAAATAAAATGTGTTTTATAAGGGTTTATAGGGTATTGTTTTAATAATAATGCATCCATATGTACTATCTATTTAATAATGATGTTAGTTATAAAATAAGATTATTAGCATGTATTGTGATCATAAAAAAAATGAAGAGTTGCACTTAGGGAAGTGTAACTAGGTTT